GATATAGCTATATTTTGTTTGTCTCTGATGGGTACCAACTATCTCGAATTTTTAAAAGAGGCGTATCGTGTCCTAAAGCCACAGTATGTCAACAAAATATTCCACATTCTTCATTTATTTTAAAGCGCAATTTATCAATATGTGATATCCGTTTTCCGTATTACAAGGGGGGAGTTGAAAATAGCAGAAGTGGCGAGTAGATTCTCCAATGTCGATGTTTTTATCGAAGTACTTGCCGAGATTGGATTTAACTTCGTGAAAAAGGTAAGGGCAATAAGAAGCGATCATTTACCCGCAATTTATTACTTTACAATTCTTACCTAATTTTTCAATTAAGGACGATACAAATAAAATGTTTATCATGCTTGATTTCATAAAGGCTCAACCTCAAAAGCAAAGAAAATCTCGGTTGATTAATGTTTCCGACTTGTTAAGACCTTGCACCTATAAGAAACGCTAATTTTGCGTTCGATAAAACTTGAATGCACTATCTGGATTGCTAATGAAATCATCGAATAGGTTATATGTCAAATAAATTTCATTGGTGTCATTTCGATATGAAAGTTCTAAATATGAAATTTTAAATTAAAAAGTAACTTGTTTCAAACTCGATTATTTGTATATATAGTATGTGAAAAACCGCACCGCATAATTTGATTTTTTATACTAAAAAGCAAATTTTTTTTAATACTTAGTCTTAATATTCAATTCGTTACCTTAATTCTTAATAATCAGCTTACAATGATGTGATATTGAATTTATCATATAATGTAATTGTTGCCAGCGGTTCTTTCGCTAATATTGATCATTCTCGCGCGGTGATCCGAGTTCCGCGGTAAATAAGGCTTTAATTAACTCTAGTCGTGTTACGATCTTGATCTGTTTTCACTTGCTAATTCTTTTCAGTGAATAACTATTTTTAGAACCCTTGTAAATTACTGGTGTTTCATCTTCTAGTCTAAACCTAGGTTTTCTTTAGTCATATTTCTTTAGGATTGCATGTGTTCACATACAGTACCGGTCATAAGTAACCGTACACCTTTTAAAAATTCAAATCTAATCCAATTGTTTTAAAAATGTTAGGAC